GCTTGGATCGATGCTTGGCATGTCGACCGTCGTCCAGGCAAATAGGTTCGAGTACTTTACGAGGATTTGCTTGATGTCTCTTGCCTCGACTTCTGACAATTGGGAACTCAAGTAAGTGACCTGTTCTTCGTTTCTCCCCAGCTGAAACGGGATTGTTGTCTCTTTTGGTTCAACCCGGTGTTCGTCTTCAATTCTCGAGTCGAGCTCTAGGTCTGCGATCGGCTTTTCTCGACAAACATCGCTGATGACATTGACATCTCGCCTTGGCTTTGGAGTTGGCTATACTTTTAGGCTGGCGAAGTAACATTCGCAGGCCGTCTTTTGGTTGGCGTGTAGAGTGATTACCGTTCCTTCTTCGGAGGGGAACTTCATAGCTAAGTGAGGGGTGGAGACGATAGCTCGGAGTTTGTTCAAAGAGGGTCGACCCAATAGGATGTTGTATGAGATATTAGCGTGCACCACCACATATCGTACTTTAACCCTTTGTCTTTGTTGTTTGTCCCCGAAGTAGGTGTATAGGTCTATCGTTCTCGGGTGTCCACTCGTTCGCCCAAAAATTCAACTAAGGGCTCGTTGTAAGGTGCCAATTCGTGCTCGGGTATACCCAACTGTTCGAAAGTTTTCCAATACAAGATATCAGCTGAACTTCCCTAGTCCACCAATGTCTTCTTCACAATACAGTTATTAATCTCTATACTGATGACCATAGGGTTGTCTTGTACTGGATCAACTCCCTGAAAATCCTTGTCGGTGAAGGTAATGGGGGGCATGCGGACCGACCCTGCTCGTGTCACTGTGTTGATCGATCTGATTGCTCTTAGGTGTCTCCTTCGCGTCGAGGCAGTGCCCCCGCCAGCTACAAACCCTCCAGCGATTGTGTTTATTACCCTTCTGGGTTGATTCCGATCTCGTTGTTGATCATTCCTCTATTGAGACTTGCTGCGTTCACGGGATCTGTACCTCGGAGGTGCCCTTTCGCGGTTTCCCCTTTCGGACTCCCTCTTATCACGGTAACTATCGTATCTCTTCCTGTCAGAGGGTTGGGTGAAATTTTTAAGGTGGCCTGACTTGACGAGATCTTCAATACGATCTCGGAGGGTTGTGCATTCCTCAGTGGTATGTCCCATGTTTCTGTGAAATTGGCATGTTTTGGTCTTGTCCGCGTGGGGTGGAGTCATAGCTCGACAGGGCACCGTCAAGATTTCTGTGGCCAAAGCTTGCTCCAACACCTTGGCCCTTTTGGTGTTGAGCGACGTGTACTGTGCATACCTGGGTCCCCTATTGCTCCTCTCTCAATCGGGTGCGTCTTGAGGGCGAGACCTTGGAGGGTGCTCTTTTTTAGCTTCTTTCTTTCCAAGGAAGAGGTCGAACCGACTCTGATTCCTGAACTCGGCCAACTCTTCCATCTGCATGTACTTGGTGGCTCTTTGCCTTAGATCGTCCAGGTCTCGGGGTGACTTTTTACATAGGCTGTTTACAAAGGGACCTGGCCTCAATGCGGTGGTAAGGTGGTGCATTGCCACCACTGGGTTTAGATCTCGGATAGATAGGGTCATCTTCCCGAATCGCTCCATGAAGGTTCTCAAGGGTTCTTTCTTTTCTTAGTGAATGTTAACCAGAGCTATGGACGTGAGCTGATGGGGTCGACTCGCGACAAATTGTATCACAAAACAAGAGGACAAGGTTGTGAAAGAATCTACCGATCCCGAGGGGAGTCTTGTGAACCAGTTTAGCGCTGGTCCTTTTAGTGAAGTGGGGAATACCTTACACATGACAGCATCCTCCTCAATGTACAAACTGACTTGTGTGACGAAGGCGTCGAGGTGTTCTTCCGGATTAGTGGTTCCATCGTACCTTTCCAAGGCCAAGTTCTTCCAATTATTCGGTAACTGGGCTCCAGCGATATTAGGAGCGAATGGTGTTCTCCCTTGTCGTCGTTGCTGATCCAGAGTTGTTGTCGTCACTCCGCCAGACGGTCGAGGAGTCCTTGTCTCTTTGTACCACCCCGACGATTCCCTCTGATCACGTGTTGATAGAGTGTTGGGGTACCGCGGGATGGATGCCAGGATTGGTTATTGCTCCTAAGCTCCACGTTCTCCTTTCTTAAGACTGACAGCTTGTGGGCGTCCTTCTCCCTAAGTCTCTTTAATTCCATCATTTCAGCCTTCAACTGTTCTATGGCCGATGATGGGTTGGGAGGTTGGGATCGATCCACGTATGACTCCTCCATTCCTTCCTCTCTGATTCGTCTGTTATCTCGGTTCCTGGGGCATCCCGAGATTGTGAACTGCTGTGTTTTCTTGTTGACTCCTAGTTGCTACCATCTTACTTCAGGGGCGAGAATCGTTTTGGTTTCGGCCCCACGATGGGCGCCAAAATGTTCCTGCTTAGAAACACTCATCCTGTTGCTCCTACTTCGCGATCTTCCAAGTCTTCGATGCCGACCGAATACTATCTTCAAAGGGTGGGGAGGGTACCTACAAAGACACTCCGACGTTCATGTTAGTGTTCGATATAGAGCGATAAAGGCTTTTATACTAGATAAATCATACCTGTTTTCTATCCCATCACCTGTGTATTTATAGTGACGTAATTGGGCCTGGTGGGCCTTCTGCCTTGGGAGATGGGTAATACTTTGGTTAACCTTGATCTCCCTTAATTAAGCGCGATAAACATTATGTAATGGATATCCTAACCCGCCATTGTCCCATGTGGGTTTGCGCACTTTGGGTCTTCGGCCAAGTTTTTAGCTGAAGAGGTATTCGGTTGTTTTCGTGACCGAGAGGGTATTCAATCATGTTCAGGGCCGAGGGGAGGGTCTATCAAGCTTAAGGCCGAATGGGTATTCGATCGTGCTTAATGCCGAAGGGGTAGCTTGGATGTTTTACTCTGATGCTTTTCTTGCCCATGTTAGGGTAGTCCTTCACATTTCGTTGCATGAGTACTCGGCTTTCTATAAGGCCGAAGGGGACTAGTTACCCTTTGGCTGTTGCCCTAGTCGAAGGGGTGCTTGGTTTGGGTTCATTTCGGCCTTCTCCTAAGTCGAGGGGGTTGTCGGCGTAAGGTTTGGTCGAGGGGTGGTATTTCCCTGTACAGACCCTAATCCAGGTTTATACAAAGGAGTAGTTGACACACACTAGTAGAAATTCACGTTATAGTTGATATTATTGTCTTTTATTTTGAATGTGGTGGCTTAACTTCACAAATACAAAACATTATATGAATATCATACTCTTTCAGAAACCTTACCAAATCTTAAAAAAGTTAATCACTTATACACTGCCAGTGTAAAAAAATTTTATATTGGCAATCAATTATATCCTTTAATTGTGCTATGTAACTGTAAACACATTTACTTTTAACAGTGACATGAAAAAATTAAAGAATATAATTGGTTGTCAGTGTAAAGTTTACACTGACAGTGTATAGGTGATTAACTCATTTTAAAATATTAAATTCATATAATAACTAAAGACATGTATTAATAATTACTTACAACAAATTCATTAATTATGAATAAAAACTAAATTAAAAAAACAAAATATTTTGAGTAAATTAATAAGAATAAAAAAAAGAGGAAAAAAAAACTAAGGTTAGAAGTAGAGATGACAAAAATACTCGTATCCATGGCCATGGGTATCTGCAGATAAACTTCGTTACAGATAATAAATGAATAACCTAAATGGATATTTGTGAATAACAAATATAGATATTTTTTTACTTGTTTATAAATGAGGTGAGGGTAGGTACGATAATATCCATACCCACAATTATCTGTTAAATAATATTACTTAAATATTCATATTTCTATTTTACATTTTTTATGTTATTTTTAATATTTCAGAAAAATTATCATTAATTACAAATTTAAAAATTAATATCAATTATTTATCTTTAATATTTCAATATACTTAACATCAAATATAAACTTAAAGTTGTTTATAATATTTTTTTATTTTTAAAATAATTCATAAATATCCATGAATATTAGTAAGTATCTATAAAATTTGTGAGTATCCACTAAAAGGATACTTGGGTGGATATGGGGCAGGTATGTGGTTGATTTTTATCTAAGAGGGTATAGATATTCTAATACTCATCCCCATACGATTCCATTGTCATCCGTAGTTAAAAGTTATTAGGTACTTCAATTAGTTTATGAAAATAAATGATAAGCTTTCATACCAAATAAACATATTTTGATCAAATTAACTTGTAATTTGATAAAAAAAATTATAAGTTTTTTAAATGTTTTGTAAAACACACTCTAAATTTGTAATTGCATGATTGGAAAAGCATGCATAAGTTTGTAGAGAGCTATGTAATTAGAAGAATGTAGAAATTCTAAGAGCATATAAGGAGCGCAAACTCTAAAATCTAATGAAGTTTGGAGAGAAACACGGGATAGCAAAAATTAGATGCTTACTTTTGGACAAAATTTTCAAAATTTATGAGTAGAAACACTCCGTTTCATCTCTAAAGTATTATTTTCATTCCTAAATGGTTTTTAAAGTAAGAAGATTATATAATTAATCCTCTAAATATTAAAATATTCATCAAATTAGGCAAAACATGCCAAATTAGGAACCAAATTGATGGATATTCAATACTTCAAGAGTTACTTATATAATTTTATTATTTTAGGAACAAAATAAAAGAGAGGGTAATAGTTGTGGGGGCTAAATTGGTGGTTTATTTGAAGTTTTACCCTACTCATGAGATGTTAAATATTATTGCAAATTTAAGAGAAAAGGTTATGTTGATAATATTTTTTTTACTTTTTTTACATACAAACCAAATGTTAATTTTCATAAACATTTATGCTCTCAAGAGCCTAGCCTGTATTAAATTGTGATTCTAAATTATTTACATAATCTTTTAATATTATATTAGCAAATACATTTTAATTTTAATTTATATATCTTGACATTAAATTTTCATCTAAGCTTTAGAGCTATTGTTTTTCGTTTTTATATTTAATCTATACCACATGATCACAGGAATGATAAAAAGTTGCATGAAAGAGCAGTTAATGACATGCAGAATAGTTGGAACGACAACTTATCTAAGCAATCTCGAGGCAAAGAGAAGATAAGTGATTCAAAATGCTCTTGGCCATTGTTAACAGAGATGTCTGATAGAACATTTTCATACTCACACGACTATTCCGGTCCCTCATGAATTTATGATGTATAATTTTCATTAATGAAATTTGGGTTTTGATTTCTATACCTATGATAACCAAAATTATCAATGAGAGTAATAATAAAACTAGCTTAATATTGGGAATGTAGGGTATTTAACCATGTATAAAAATAAAAAGAATTTTTTTTTGTTGAGATAATGAGATTTCAACCGGTAAGTAGAGGAGAGGAAAATTTTATAAAATTTGGGAAGCCATGCTTTCTTCATCATGCCTAATCAATTGTTACTCATGTTTAAAGAGAGTCCGAAATTTCTGACGTCGACAATAACCTTCTTGTCAAAATTTTCATTCCTGTATGTTATTTTGACCTTTTGGCCATAATAAATAAAAAGCAATAATTATTAAAATAAATTAATTAAAAAATAATTTATCAAAATAAATTATTTTGGCCAGGCTGAGAGCGAAAAAAAACATTACCATATATGACGCGACAGAAAGAACTTAAAAGCATCAATCCATTTGATTTTTTTTTGCATAAATTTACGAAACTAAAATTGTCATGGTGGTTGACATTTTTTGCAAATTGCAAAAAATTTGCATGGCTGTGGATGCTAAAAACGTCATGCCATTTAACGTTTTCTTTGCATGGCGTAAAAGGCCAAAAAAGTTATTATAGGTGACATCTTCACGAAGCCATTATACTTAAAAATGTCACCAAGGTTGACGTTTTACATGTCATAGAAAGCGTCACCTTGACTAATGTTTTGCAAGCATATTTGCCTGTGATGCCTGATGATGAAAGAGCATGGACTAAAGGTTCAACCACTAAAGTTATGGTTAGAAGATTATTTCAAGATTTGACTACTTTAGAGCTTGGTAGGCCCAATGGACTTGGTGGGCCTAGGGTACTCTTCACAGGGCTTTACATTGACCACCATGTTATTTTCTCTAGGCAGATGATAAACACACTTCCACTCTCGTATAAACACACCCCCTTTTTAAAAAAAAATATATAAAATATCTAAATTACCCTTAAAAAAAAAAAGAAATTCCTAAATTTACATCCCCTTCCCCTCACCTCCCTTCTCCGCATCCCACATCCCTAAAGAAAGTGGGTAGCAGGTGTGGTGTAGTAAAAGGGGTTTCGAAGCTTGTGAGGATTCAGCTTCAAATTGAGTCGGTGTGTTAAGTATAGACTTTCCACATACATAAATAGGGCTTTTTAGCGACGTTTTGTCTCTTTTTTTCCCCATAAATATAAGAAATATAAAAAAGCGGCTAAGCCCCTGCTTGATAAAGCAAAACAAAAATGCGGGTAGCTCGATCGATCACATGGCTTCGATTGGTTTCGGTCTAATCAATGAATGTATAGGGGTCCACCTAATCTTTCCGCAGGTACGATCTAGACGACCACATTCCTGTTGGGCTAACTCGCCCAATCAATCCAATGGCTTCGCCCGTTCCAGTCCCGTTAGAGAGATCCAAAACTTGATATTCGGAGCCTATAGATCGATCCCGCGTCTATTCGTTCTCTGACCAGTTCCATATACAGGGACCATGTGCCACCAATAGCAAAACAACTGGCGGCCGAATCCAATGCCAGTCCCAGCAGTGGACTCCATTGACCGAGTATAGGCGCCATTCCGCCCGCCCGGATTGGTTGTTGCTGTTGGGAGACTGAGCTTTATTGATATGATGGAAGAACCCCCGACGGCTAGGCTGTCCTCCCCCCTACCGGTGCATCAATCCAGCGCATTTAGACCTGTCCTAGCGGAACCCTATCTTGGTTGGAGAAAGCCAGTCCAGAGAGTATGGTATTTTGTTGGTAATTGCTACTCTTATTTATTATATATTGCGGGGGAAGGGGGGCGTGGGGTGAGGGGAAGGGGAGTGCGGGGAACAAGGTGGGGTGCGGGGAAGGTAGTGTAAATTTAGGAATTTTGTTTTTTTTAAGGGTAATTTAAACATTTTATATATCTTTTTTTTAAAAGGAGGTGTATTTATACGAGAGTGGAGGTGTGTTTATCATCAGCCTTTTCTCTATTGAGTAGTGTAGGATTTATTTTTCTTGATCTTGTATTTTGGACTAATTAGAATAGGATTATGGGCCTTAGGCTTCATGGGCCTAGTTTTGGGCTTTATGGGTTTTGGGCTTTTGGTACCCAATATTGAGCTCATTTTGTTTCTTTTATTATTTCCTAATGTTTGTATTTGGTTGGTCATTGTATTTAGACCTTTAGACTAGAAAAATTAAATGATTACTTAAATAGGCTAATTAGGCAAAATTAGATTTCATTTGGAAGTCATTTAAGTTGCATTTAAGTCACATGTTTTTAACCATGAATGACTAAACATGTGTATACTCAAATCAACCCTAAATGCTTGCCAAATGAAACATAAATGCATGATAACACTATGATTCACGGCCAAGCACATGAGAGCTAAAAATTTGAATTCAAATTCACATTTGAATTCAAATTTAGGCACCAAATGTGAGCTTTGGACCTTGGCGCCATGGAGCATTCACCTATATAAGCCTTCCTCCATCATTCATGTATTCACTTTTGATCATTTGAGAAATCTGAAAGCTTCATTCAGCAAATTCTCTCCCAAAAGTCTCTGTGGAACCTTACTTAGCCTTAGGAATTCCTAGTACTTCTAGGTGAATCCGTGAGCAATCCTTTTGCCCTCTTAGGCTAGGGTGCTTCCATCTTGATTTGGTTCAAACCAAATCCGATTCTCTACTTATCTTCCTTCTCCGGAATTGCGTTCAAGGACAAGATCTTGTGAGGAACAAGGCAAGGGAGGTTCAACATTCCATCTTACCTACCTAGTTCCATCATTTTTGGTATCAGAGCATGGTTGAAGTCCTTGAAGGTTAGGTGACTCTTTCACTGACTCAATTCTGGAAAATTTGATTTCAATTTCTCACTTAAGTTTCCTTGATTGGATCTAAGTTTTGGAAAAATATTTTGATGGATCCAAATAGTGTGATTGCATTTTGATTCAATCCGCAATCTCACTAATGTTTAGGAATCTACTTGTGCCAATTTTTGAATTATTTGAGTCTTCTTCTAGTTTGATTTAATTGATTCAGTCATTTGAGTTTAATTGCATGTGATTTTGAATTTTTGAATCATTGAAGTTGTCAAGAGTCATGTGTAGTTCTTATTTTGTCAAGAAAATTCAAGATATGCTTAGTTGATCTTATTTGGAATTTGTTTGTTTGAATTTCTAAGTTTGGTCCTGACTTGCTCTTGATTGATGCTTTGGTGCTTTTAAATTTTTACATGCTTGAGTTCATGTCCATTGTTAGATCATTAATGAATTCTTAGTTAGGTTTCCATTGTGTCTTGATAAGTTTTTAAATTCAAATTTGCCTCCAAAATTCTCATCAATTTGCTTGTAATTGTTAAGTGAAATTCTTACTTCTAGTGCATTGTTTAAATTGGATTCAAATTCTGGAAATTTAGTGGCTGAAAAACAGAGGAAAAAAACAGAGAAAATTGAGTTCAAAAGATTTAGAAAAAAAAAAGGAAGGAAAGGAAACACAAAAAGAATCCAAAACAACATCCATTAGTAGTGCACTAGAAATGGAAATTTTCACTTGAAGTTGCTTACATTGATAGATCCGATTTTTACTCCTAATTGCTGCGTGAATTTTGGTGTAAAAGGAAAGTAGCTTCTCTGAATTTGTTTCTCAAAATTAGAAGAACAAAAGTTAAAAAAAAAAGAGAAAAATCAAAAACATTTGAAAAAGCCGAGAAGGATAGAAAGGAAGAAAATAAATCAACATTCACTAATTGTCGGATCTAGCAACTAGAATCAATTCTTGTGTACTCTTCAAAATTATTTTGGTTTTCTTAATCTACTCTAGAACTTTTCTAAGACCTTCCTCTTTGAGTGCTAGCTTTTATTTGAGAGTCTTAATTTTAGATTTGTTGTCTTGTTGGACTATCTTTGAGTTTTGTCAAATCTTATCTACTCCTATTTGGTATAAGCTCTCTAATCTCTTTTTGTGCTTGTCAAGTTTTCAATTCATAAAAATCCAGTGCTGGAAGTGGTATTAAACTCTTGCAAGGAGACCAAACATTGCTCACAAAAGCTAAAAGGAAAGGATTGCTAACACTAAGCAAAAGAGCTTGAAAGAAATTTGACCAAAATTGTCCTAGCCTTCTAAAATTCCCTTCACAAGAGTGATCATACCTTCCATCATTGTGAAAAGCCTATTTTCTTTGATTAGTTTGTTCAATTGTGCAGGTCAAGAAAAACTAAAAAGAGTTTCAGATTAGAGACGGATTTAGAGACCAATTCTGGTTGCTGAAAAATCTGTCACAACAAAATCCGTTACTAATTCCGTCGTAAAATTCGTCGCCAATTTCTATTTTAGGCTAGTTTAAATTTTATTGTAATTTTTTGTATTTCAATACATTTGTAATAGCTTAGAGTGAGTATTAAGAAGCTGGTCAGGTATAATTGTATACTAATAGCATCCTCACGTGTAGTGCTAGTGGAAGTGGCTTGAAAATTCCATACGATCTTCAAGCTTCCACATAGGAATTCGACTAGTTCATGATTCTTCTCTTAGCTATTGTGGTTAATTCCTTTGAATATCATTTGTTTGTTGTACCTAACCATGACTAGTTTCTCTAACTTGTTTATTGCTCACATTTAGATAGAATTCAAGAAAATTTTTGAAGAAAAAGATCGTAAGCATTAAAGTTTTGTGAAAAGATTTTGGGAATTGAAGCTAACATAAGGGGGTTTAGTAATTTCCACTTGAAAAGGCTTAGTTATTAAGTTGCTCTTAGTAGCTCACCTCCCTTGATAGTGCAACTTGTATACTTAGACCTTTAAGTGTTTAGTTTTGTTCCTTGAAAACAAAAATTTAATTTCTTTTTACATTGCATACTAAAACTTCTTAGAACTTAACCATGAGTAAACATTCTCAAAGTGGTAGTGACTCAAGCTCTCCAAAAAAATTTTCTCATCTTGCTCAAAAGCTTAAGGCACTAAAACTTTGGAGAAAACAAGAAATGCTTGCTAAAGAAAAAGAAAGAATTGAAAGAGAAGCACAACTTGTTA